GTGGGGCGGGCACAGGGCCAAGGCAGCAGGCGCACAAGACAATTACCAGCTCTGCGCTCGCGTCCTTGACGCCGCTAAACGTCGCGCACTCACACTCGGAGCTCTCCCTCCCTCGAGTTGAGTTGCTGTGGAGTATAGTGGAGGACTTTGCCTTTGCATTCGCATTTCTTCGGATTAGAGCTCCTTGTATCAAGAGTGAGCGTTTACGGCCTCGGGAAAGAGTAACTATCTCACCGCACTGTTAAGTTCTAGCACAAGAACTTTTTTGCAAACGATTTGTAAATTACGAAGGATTGCTGCTTCGTAGACGACGATGCACGATTTTCAGTGCGCCTTCCTTTGACCGACTTTGGCACACTCTTGTCACTAAAGGGACACGTGTCATTATGTGCCCGACCCGCGGGTGGGCAGGCTCGCGAGCAGGCCATTGTCACAAGTTCATTACACACTTCTCTTCAACCCCCCCCCCCCCCCCGGCCGACGCTCCGCGCTCTGTGCACACAAACTACGGACCCCCCGGCCGAGCCCGGCTCCCCTGGGGTAGCTTGGCCCGGCCCGGCCCGACTCGGCTCTTCCCAAGGTCATAGCAAGCAACTCTCAGTTCAGTTCGGATCGAGCGCTGGGTCGGAGCGGGACGGTCAAGGGTCAGACGTTCATAAGAGGCCCGGGGCAGCTTTGTAGTATCCCCTAACCCAGCCCGCCGTCGTCCTATACATGCTGACCACGACGCAGTACGCCCAGCGGGGCCCACCTCAGCTCCTCGGGACACACGCTGCGCCAGCCACCGCAGGCAGGACCGCGACAGGAACCCCCAACCCCAGTGGGGTTACCCCACCCGGAGGCACTATGCCCCTCCGGGCGACAAAGTTGAACCCACGACGTTTTGTAGCCCCGACATCCCGTACTTTGTGGAGTTCCTGTGGCCGGGCGGGGCGGGGCGGGGCGGGGCGGGAGCCGCCACCCCGGAGCGACTTGACTCCCCACACCGGCGGCGCTCGGGCGCAGTCCTGAGCGTCGACCCCCGTGCGCGCCCCCGGCCCGGCCCGGCTCACCCAGCAGGGGGAAATAAATAAAAGACGAGCCCTCCCTCCCGACGCGGCGCGCCCGCCTTACACCAGCGGGCTCCGGGCGGGCTCCGGGCGGGCTCCGGGCGGGCTCGCGAAGTGGAGCGGCGAGCGGCCGAGCCGCGGCCGACACGCGCGCGGGGGCGAGTTGATGGATAGGAGGGGAGGTCACGAGGAAGGTTGCCGCAGAGGAGGCGCGAAGGTGGCTCTTACACGTCTGCATATGCCAGGGCACTTTCAGTTGCCATGAAATATATGTATAGCGCCGCTGAAGCAATAAAATCGGTAGGTTCCTCACCGCACTATTTCGATTTGCAAGAGGCTGGTGGGCTGGAGGACACCGTGTGAGCACAATTAGAGAAGAAGCTGCGTATGGTCTAAGCACCCCCTCCCCCCCCCCTTCCCTACCACAGCACGCACGCAGGCACGCACGCAGGCACGCACGCAGGCACGCACGCACGCACGCACGCACGCACGCACGCACGCACAGGGCCGGAACTGTGACTTCTCTCTTTTCGATCCACCCCTCGCCGCTCCTTTCCTTCTCCGACAGCCTTCCCTCTCGTCTCTCGTCGCGGTCCACGTTAGACGCGGAGGCCTATCCCCCACCACCCCGCACCCCGCACGCACACACGCACACACACAGAGACGAACACAGTCTTGTGTAAGAGTCTCCCCCGTGCGCCCCTTTGTCCAGGGGTTGGCCTCGGCCCGGCGGCCATCGTGGACGGCCGGTGCGTGGGGGGGAGGGGGG